ATTAAGTATTAGCTGATATGATCATCGAAAGCTATACTACTTTACTAACTCAGGATTTCTACCATACAGGTCCTCTGCTCATAGATCCTATCAAGATTTATTTATATAATATTATATCTTACTGAATACCTCATCATATTTCTAGTATTTTGATAATATTAGTACAATATAATTTATAGTGTTATAACTTCAGAAATAAACAGAATTTACTATAAGTTAGATACAAAGATCTGAATAATTATTCAAATTCATTGATAGTGAGATTTGAATTCCAGACTTCTAGTATAGCAGTCTGACAATCTAACTACTATACTAAGATCATTAGATATTGTCTTCTTTCCTAAATATTTTATTTAAATTTAGATACTAATTACTTATGCTTTTTATAATAATATATTCAGATACATTTTTGCTATCTAAACTACAGCTTTTGCAGCAAGCTAGTCTTGTTTTTAATATATCACTACTTTCTACTATCTTCTAGTAAACTAGTAATATTCTTTTTTTTGTTTTCTTTTTTATTTTGCTTACTATTATAATATTACTTTTTTTTAGCAAAATCTATTCTTTCTTTCTTCTGTCTAAACTTACTCTCTTCTATAGTTTCCTTCTTACGTGAGGCTTGAATTAGGTTTTCTTTTTTAAACTTCTTCTTTCGATTTGAAAGAATTTCTCTGTTCTTCAAAGAACGCATCTCGAGCATTTTGATTCATTCTATTTGTTTCTAATTTCTTAATTTTTTCTTTATGTAATTTTAAATCTTTTTTATTCGAAGTATCGAAAGGTTCTTTCATAAATTCAATTAACCGTTCAATAATTGAAGATTTATCACCAGAAACTTTAATATTAAAAAAAGCACACATCTTTTTCAATCCATCTATCTTCAACTTTTCAAGTTTTTCTTTGATTACAGTCACATCAACAGGAGATTCAGTATTAAGACCTGAGAAAGCGCGTAGATGCGATTTAATATCATGTTTTGTTCCTGCTCGGCCATAAAATAACCTATGTACACTTTTAAGAGTTTCGTCTGACGTTCTGTGTTTGTCAATGGCACGAGCTATTGCTGGGATTTGACCAAGAGGGATACCTTTACCCTGTACTATATTAACCGGAGGTTTGACACGTAACTTTGTATCAGAAGCTTGAGAACCGTAAGGAACAACTGGACGTGCCTGTCGTCGAGGTCTATCATTAAGTACAGTCTCGACTTCATCTACGTGCTTTCTTTTCCCAATTTTTTTAGTAGGAAGTTTTTCACTTGCAGTTTCAGTTCGTTCATCAGACGATACTTTAACTTGTTCCAAAGAATCAGCCATTTTTTGAAGTTTCTTTTTTTTTTTTTTTTTTATAAATGTTTATATTGAAAAAAAAAAAAAAAACTAATATTTTTCTAAACTCTTCACGTAAACAACTTTCGTGGCAATGTTTCAGACCAAAATTTATTATCGTTATCTTTATATATTATATAAATCTAGTTTAGTATCATCTGATTATTGACCAATAATTTATTTTCTTTAAGAGTAGAGTGTACGTAGATCATTTTTCATATCTGATATGATTTGCATGGCAAATTAGGATCCTATAAAAAATACGCCATTAATAAAAATTTTCAAAGCCACGTACGTATTTATGGCAATAAAGTTTAAGGGAATGTTATTTTTTTTAAAAAACAATATTACCTATGCCGTAAAGTTTTTTTAGATCTTTTTTCTAATCGGTGTTGGTAACAAGTAATTTAACTAATTGGACGTAGTTCAATTAGTTAGACTATTAAGTCTAAATAGCTCAAATGCTAACATATTTCCAACTACAGTAACATAAGGTTTTTTTACTTAATTAGTTTGTAAATTTTTAGTTATTGGCTTAATATATATATGGATTAACTTAAAAATATATTCAACGAATGTATGTCGAATGGAATAAAGTCCAAAGTAATGTGAAATTTAAAAGTAACTTGAGTTGGTTTTAAATTAGATATTACAATTTAAAATTTTTTTTTTTTTTTTTTTAATTTAGGTGATTTTGTTTTTCATTTTATTAAGAGAATTACTAAACTAGTAATAAGACAAATACAGAAAATTAAAACTATTTTAAAACTATTCTAATTT